CACTAATTGAAAGGGGCATGTTCAAAATAATAGCAGCGTGGAGTTCTATTAGTGAGGTCATTCATTCTTTGAAAAACAGGTGGCGATTATTGCCCTTAATTAAGGAAGGAAGGCAGCAAATGTTGTACATGCTGGTTACAGTGCATTTCTCTCTTAAATTTTGAGGAAAATGGGTCGTTCCAGACATTGTTCAGAAGAACAACGTACCTTGATTAAATAGTTGATTGGAGAGGGGGAAAACATATAAAGAAGTGTAGAAAATGATAGGCTGCTCAGCTAAAATGATCGCAAATGCTTTAAAATGGCAACCAAAACCTGAAAGACGTGGAAGAAAGCAAAAAACTACCATTGGGATGGATAGAAGAATAGCCAAAATGGCAAGGACTCAGCCAACAATCAGCTCCAGGAAGATCAAAGAAGGTCTAAAGTTACCTGTGAGTACTGTTACAATTAGAAGACCCCTATGTGAAGCCAAGCTATCTGCAAGAAGCCCCCGCAAAGTCCCACTGTTGAAAAAAGACGTGCTGAAGAGGTTACAATTTGCCAAAGAGCACATTGACTGGCCTAAAGAGAAATGGCGCAACATTTTGTGGACTGATGAAAGTAAGATTGTTCTTTTTGGGTCTAGTGGCCGGAGACAGTTTGTCAGACGACCCCCAAACACTGAATTCAAGCCACAGTACACTGTGAAGACAGTGAAGCATGGTTGCGCAAGCATCATGATATGGGGATGTTTTTCATGCTATGGTGTTGGGCCTATTTATCGCATACCAGGGATCATGGATCAGTTTGAATACATCAAAATACTTGAAGAGGTCATGCTGCCTTATGCTGAAGAGGAAATGCCCTTGAAATGGGTGTTCCAACAAAACAATGACCCCAAACACACCAGTAAACGTGCAACATCTTGGTTCCAGACCAACACGATTGACGTTATGGAGTGGCCAGCCCAATCCCCGGATCTTAATCCAATAGAAAATTTGTGGGGTGACAACAAAAATGCAGTTTCTGAGGCAATATCAAGAAATAGAGAAGAACTGTGGAATGTAGTCCAATCATCCTGGGCTGGAATACCTGTTCACAGGTGCCAGAGGTTGGTTGACTCCATGCAACACAGATGTACAGCAGTTCTCAGAAACAGTGCTTATACAACTAAATATTAATTAAATGATTCAAAGGGAAGCAAAATCTTCAAACATTTTTCAGTTTATATAGTGAATGTTTGAGTTTGTAAAGAAGAATACAAACACTGCTATTTTTTTGAACAGTCTAATATTCACTTTTCTTCAATTTTTTTAGGGGAACAACACAAATTTTATATATTTTTCTTCATGTTAGAAGGATTTTGAGCTTTATTCACTTTTTTCAACACACTGCTATTATTTTGAACAAAACTGTATATATATATATATATATATATATATATATTCAGCATATCAACATGGATGTTGCACCACTTCTTTAAACTAAATCTTTCTAAAACCGAGCTGATAAAATTCCCCTTGGCCCGCTCGTGCCCTCCTCCAGTCCCTCCGCTCCCGCCAGGACACTGGGTGTAATCTTCAATTCTTACCTGTCCTTTCAGCCCCAAATGCAATCTCTTTCAAAGGTTTGTAGACTTCACCTCCATAACATCTCTAAAATTCACCCTTTTTAACTAAACTAAACTTTAAACCACCAAGCTACTAATTTACTACCATGTTATCTCTCGCCTTGACTTTTGCAAGTTCCTTCTCATAGGCCTCATAGGTTTTTCCCTCTTCAGTCTATCATGAATGCTATTGCCAGACTCATTAACCTTACCAATTGCTCTGTGTCTGCCACCCCTCTCTGCCAATCTGTCCTCTGGCTTTTGATTGCCCAGATAATTCAATTAAAAATACAAACAACAACATACAAAGCCATTCACAACTCTGCCCTGACCTACATCACCAATCTTGTCTCAAAATATTGCTCAAACCATTCTCTCCGCTCCTCTCAAGACATCCTGCTCTCTAGCTCCCTGGTCTCCTCCTCTCATGCTCATCTCCAGGACTTCTTCACAGCCTCTCTCATCCTCTGGAATTGTCTACCTCAATCTGTCAGGTTCTCCTACTCTGGCTGCCTTTAGGTGATACCTGAAAATGAATCTCTTCAGGGTAGACTATCACACCTAGAACTGAAATTTTATCACTTCCATCAGCTCATCCCCCCACAGTTATAACCTTGTATACCACTTGCCCCACCATATTAGATTGTAAGCTCTTATGAGCAGGGCCCTCTTAAGCTTCTTGTATTTCATTGTATTGTATCTATACTGTCTCCCTTTATATTGTAAAGCACTGTGCAAATTGTTGGCGCTATATAAATCCTGTATAATAATAATTAAATATATATACTGTATATATGAGATGACCCCCATAACAGGAATGGTTTTACAGGTGGAGGCCACTGACATTTTTTCCCTACTCATCTTTTCTGACTATTTTCACTAGTTTTGATTTGACTAGGATCAATGTCAACTGGTGCATTGAAGCGATACCTGGATCCTACAGAGGTTGCACAGGCAGTCCAACTCCTGCAGGATGGCACATCAATATGTGCCATTGCCAGAAAGTTTGCTGTGTCTCCCAGCACAGTCTCAAGAGCATGGAGGAGATTCCAGGAGACAAGCAGTTACTCTAGGAGAGATAGATAGGGCCATAGATGGTCCTTAGCCCATCAGCAGGACCATTATCTGCTCCTTTGTTAAGGAAGATCAGGATGAGCACTGCCAGAGCCCTACAAAATGACCTCCAAACAATCAGAAACAGACTTCATGAGGGTGGCCTGAGGGCCTGATATCCTCTAGTGGGCCCTGTGCTCACTGACCGTCACCACAGAGCTTGATTGGCATTTGCCATTAAACCCCAGAATAAGCAGGTCCACCACTGGCGCCCTGTGCTTTTCACAGATGAGAGCAGGTTCACCCTGAGCACATGTGACAGACGTGAAAGGGTCTGGAGAAGCCATGGAGAACGTTGTGCTGCCTGTAACATCGTTCAGCATGACCGTTTTGGTGGTGGGTCAGTGATGGTCTGGGGAGGCATATCCATGGAGGGAAGCACAGACCTCTACATGCTAGACAATGGCACCCTGACTGCCATTAGGTATTGGGATGAAATCCTTGGAGCAATTGTCAGACCCTACGCTGGTGCAGTGGGTCCTGGATTCTTCCTGGTGCACGACAATCCCCGGCCTCGTGTGGTGAGAGTATGCAGGCAGTACCTGGAGGATGAAGGAATTGATACCATTGAATGGCCCCCACACTTTCCTAACCTAAATCCAATAGAACACATTTGGGATATCATTTATCAGTCCATCTGACACTGCCAGGTTGTACCTCAGACTGTCCAGTGATGCCCGGATGCAGATCTAGGAGGAAATACCCCAAGACACGATCTGTTGTCTCATTAGGAGCATACCCCAATGTTGTCAGGCATGCATTCAAGCACGTGGGGGCCATACAAACTACTTAGTACTATTTTGAGTTGCTGCAATGAAATTTCAGCAAATGGACTTGCCTGCTGCATCTTTTTTTCACTTTGATTTTTGGGGCGCCTTTGAATTCAGTCCTCTGTAGGTTGATAATTTACATTTCCATGAAACAATGGGGCATCCTTACGTTTCTAAAAAATTACCCAGCCCATATCAGTATAGATATCCTGCATGATAGTTTTCCCCATTGAGATCTGATGTGTTTTCAAAGTGTTCCTTCAATGTTTTAACAAATATATATATATATATATATATATATATATATATACACAGTTAGGTCCATATATATTTGGACACAGGCACAATTTTCACACTTTTGGCTTTGTATGCCACCAGAATAAATTAAAACTAAACAATCCACATGAATTTTAAGTGTAGACTTTCAGCTTTAATTAAAGGGGTTGAACATAAATGTCAAGTACAAATTTTAGGAACTGCAACCATTTTTATACACAGTCCATTTTCAGGGGCTCAAATATAGTATAATTGGACGACTAAATATAATCATGAATAAAATGTTCATTTTTAATATTTTGTTGAGATTCCTTTAGTGGCTGGACTGCCTGGAACCCATGGACATTACCAAAGACTGGGTTTCCTCCTTTCTGATGCTTTGCCAGGCTCTAGCTGCAGCTGTCTTCAGTTGTTCTTTGTTTGTGGGTATTTCTGCCTTTAGTTTTGCTTTCAACAAGTGAAATACATGCTCAAATGGGTTGAGATCAAGTGACTGACTCGTCCATTGCAGAATATTACACTTCTTTTCCTTCAAAAGCTCCTTTGTTGCTTTTGCAGTGTGTTTTGGATCATTGTCCATCTGTACTGTGAAGCGCCGTCCAATCAACTTTGCTGCATTTGGCTAAATCTGGGCTGATAGTATATCTCTAAACACTGCAGAATTCATCCGCCTGCTTCTGTCTTCTGTCACATCATCAATAAACACCAATAACCCAGGGACACTGGAAGCCATGCATGCCCATGCCATCACACTGCCACCACAATGTTTTTACAGATGACGTTATGTGCTTTGGACCATGAGCTGTTCCAAGCTTTCTCCACACTGTTTTCTTCCTGTCATTCTGGTACAGATTAACCACTTGCCTACCGGGCACTTATACTCCCTTTGTGCCCAGACCAATTTTCAGCTTTCAGCGCTGTCGCATTTTGAATGACAATTGCATGGTCTTGCAACACTGTACCCATATGAAATATTTATCTTTTTTTCACACAAATAGAGCTTTCTTTTGGTGGTATTTAATCATCACTGGGTGTTTTATTTTTTGCATTATAAACAAAAAAAAAGAGTAAAAACGTTAAAAAAAACCATTTTTCTTTGTTTCTATTATGAAATTTTGCAAACAGGTAATTTTTCTCCTTCACTGATGTGCATTGATGAGGCTGCGCTGTTAGGTAGCACTGATGGGCACTGATAGGGAGCACTGATGGGCACTGATAGGCGGCACTGGTGAGGTGGCACGGATAGGCAGCACTGATGGGCACTGCTAGGTGGCACAATGATGGGCACTGATGGTGGGAATAATGGGCACTGATGGGTGGCACTTATGGTGGCACTGACTGGCAGCACTGCTAGGCACTGACTGGCGGCACTGCTGGGCATTAATGGATGGCACTGCTGGGCAGCACTGATGGGGGGGGGGGGCACTGTCACTGCTGGGCACTGGTGGGTGGCACTGCTGGGCACAGGTGGGTGGCACTACTAGACGATGGGCACAGGTGGGTGGCACTGCTGGGCACAGGTGGGGTACTGTGGGAACTTGTGAGCGGCACTGCTGGGCACAGGTGAGTGGCACTGCTAGGCACTGATCATCAGGGCACTGATCATCAGTGCCCTGATGATCAATGCTGATCCATCCTCTGACAATTGCTGGTTATCGCAGTACTTTCCTCATGCAGTGACAGCATGAGGAAAGTGCAGCCAATAACCGGCAACTGCAGTTACCGGTAATCTGCTGTATCATTGGACGCGGCTGATCACGTGGTAAAAGGCCGATAGCAGAGCAATACAAACCAATGTGCTGACACAGTGAAAGACATGCACAGCTCACAGTTAACCTTTTGATCGCGCCCAGATGTTAATCCCTTCCTACCCAGTGCCATTAGTACAGTGTCAGTGATTTTTATTAGCACTGATCACTGTATTAGTGTCACTGGGGATGTCAGTGACAGTTAAACAGCACCCCCCCCCCCCCAGTGTCAGAATGCCTGCAGAAGTCCCGCTATAAGTCGCTGGTCGCCGCCATACTAGTATTAAAAAAAAAAAAAAAAAAATCTAGTATATATACTGCCATTTGTAGACACTATAACTTTCACGTTAACCAAATAATTTACACATATTGGGATTTTTTTTTTAGCAAAAACATGTAGCAGAATACATTTTGGCCTAAATTTATTTTTTTTAATTTTTTTTTACTGGACATGTTTAATAGCAAAAAATTAAAAATATTGTTTTTTTTCTCATAATTGTCTGGGTTTTTTTGTTTATAGCACAAAAAATAAAAAATGCAAAGGCAATAAAATACCACCAAAAGAAAGCTCCATTTGTGGGGAAAAAGGACATAAATTTAATTTGCGTGCAGCGTTGCATGACCGCCCAATTGTCAGTTAGCAGCAGCGCGTATTGCGAAAAATGGCCTGGGTCAGAAGAGGGGGTAAATCCTCTGGAGGGCAATCATCTATGGCTTGCATAATCTATGGCTTGCCTTAAACATTTTGTCATCAGTAAAGGTGTCGGCATTTGATGATTCCTCTGTTCCAGTGGTGGTGCAAAATTTTGGCTGTCTCATCATGTTCTTTCCTGGTCACAGTGGTTAACAAGATAGAAGAGATGATTATTAAAGCCTTATAGAGGTTCTCACTATTTCTGATTTTATTAAATACTAAAAAATTAAAAGGGTTTGTTAGAGGTGCACCTTAAAGTTAGAAATATTCTCCTGGTCTGATTAAAATAGTGGAGCCAGGTGACAATAAGAGATGAGTACCTTAACCTCTTTAACCATGTCCCCATTTATTTTGTTCTTTCCCCAGGGAAGTTTCATCAAAAGTCAATAAACATTAGCTGGGTACTTTCGTGTATATTGTCTAGGACTGCTGAATAGACTGATCCATTCACTCTCTGCATGATGCCATTCACCTCCCTAAATGCTTTGCATGCCAAAGATCCAAGGCCTATGGTCCACAAAACAATGAAGTACAAAATCTTTTTTGTAATTCAAGGAGCTTAGTTATTAGTTTAAATACTGCCTTTTAACTTGTGCTTTTCCATGGCTACAATTGTCACTACATCATTTTCCTTTCATGGCTTTCCTGGACGCATGTTACATCTAAAGGAAATATTTATGGTTATTAGAAACTAAATCTTCTGTAATAACAGCCTGTGAAAAAAAAAAACTCTGAAGGCTCTCTAGGGTGTCTTTCACTATTTTGCCCCAAGCAGGGCTTGTTAAGAAGGGGGAACAAATTTGTATTGCAAATTTTGAAGTATATAAACTCCTATAGATATTCTCACTCTATATCTTAAACAATAGAAATGCACTTATTCACCTGATACTTTTATTCACAATTGTAACCCTGTAGAGGTAAGTTTGGCTGAATAATTGTGTTTTCATGGTTAACATAGTTGGTAAATGTGTTATTTTTGACCAATACAATCCTTATGTAAGGAGCAATCATCTGTGTCTCTGAAACGATGTTTGCTGTACACATACATTTCAAGGTACGTATACAGAGACTGATTATCCCAAAAAAAGTTGTCTGAGTGTAAGGGCTTGTTTGGTTTGATGGACCGGTCCCTGCTGAACTGGCCAAGATACAATCTATCTATGGGCAGGCTGGTTGTACTGAAGTTGATACATTGATCATCTTCAGTAATACCAGCCTGTTGGATTTTTTTTGTATGCAATCACCACCATGCTTCAAAATGTGGTTTCGGACATGCTTTTTTAAAGCGCTCTGAATGCCAATCAAAGCCCTGTCACTAAATAAAAAGGTTAACTTACAGACCTGTTTACAGGTTGCTTTTGCTTTGTTTTGCTCGGCTTTGCTTAAAAAATTATACCCCATGGCACTTTCTTGGTGGTGCTTCAAAGCGTCTCTGAAGCCTCCATAGAAGTCTATGGCAGGTTTTGAGAGGCTTTTATTCAGCTTTACATGGATGTTTGATTCCTACCGCCCAACGCCTGGGTATGTAGTTCCAGGCGCCAGGGCAGGTAGTTTTTCTCTTCCTTTAGCCCTGCTGCAGGCAAGCAGCAGGGCTCACCTGTCAGGTGAAGCAGTCGGCAGCAGTGCTGCCGCCGATTGCTTTCACACAGTGCCAGCCTCTTTGCTCCACGGGCGTGAGGTCTCCCGGGCTCCACTTGCACATCTGTGGGCCCAGCTCGCCGTCGGCTAGAGAAGAGGGAGAAGAGCGGACAAGTCCGCTCCCCTCCCTTCTAGTGCTGACTTGGAAGTGACGGTACGATTGTCACTTCCAGGTCCCCATAGAGCAGATTGTCAACTCCAGTCCTCATGGACCCCCAACAGGTCCCTGTTTTCAGGATTTCCATTATGTTGCACAGGTGACAGATCAGTTTCACTGCCTTAGTAATTACCACAGTGTTTCATCTCAGGGAATGGAAACATGCCTGTTGGGGGTCCAGAGGGGAGAGACACACGCAGGGTCTTTTAGACCTTGGAATGTCTCAAAGAGGGTCTTTTAGACCTGGATGTCTCAAAGAGAACAAAAAAATCATCACATAGGGGAAAGTCCCCTATGAGATGGTGAATAAAAAATTGTAAAAAAGTAGTATTGCACATACCATCCCCCCAAAAAAATATTGAGGCCCCCACCCCCACATATACGCACATACAAACGTAAAAGCACATGCTGGAGCACCTACACATGAAACCGTCAATTGCGATACACATGTCACATATCACCGTGCATGCTAAGATGAGAGCAATAACTCTAGCACCAGAACTCCTCCGTACACTAAACTGGTGAGCTATAATGAGATTTAAAAATGTCAACCTATAGAAAATATAGGGTACTGAAGTTTATCGCCATTTCACGAGTGCCCACAAATTTAAGGTTTTACAAGTTGGATATCTATTTACTCGATGCAACCTCATCTTTTATATTTTTTACAAAAAAATAGGGTAATTTATTGCTTTTTTGTGTCCTAAAATTAACTTACTTGTATTTCTTACTAAAATTTTGCGGTAAAATTATGTGTAATCTTCAGGTCTAAAATGATTTTTTAAAACGTGCAAAAAATGCAAAAACAGCTCTGGCAGCGAAAGGGAAAAAGTATAAGCCCTGCCCCACCCTTTCCTGATGAGCAGCCTATCGTTGTTCATCACACTGCAAGGTCTCTCCCCTCCCTGCTAGTCCCCGGGTACGGTGCTGGAGACAGGCAGGGAGGGGAGGAGATAAACAGCGCAATGGTAAAAATATTACATGTTTAAGTTGCCATAAAGCCTCTTTTGTTTTTAAAAGCCCCCCCCCCAACATTCCTAAAATCACCTCCGATTTAAATACAATTTTGGTTGAAAAAAAAAAAAAATTTTTAAGGACAAGTGGATTGTCATGAGGGACAAGTAGATTGGGGCCCCGTTTTAGTCCCTGGACAAGTAGTTTTTTCAAACATTTCCACACTCCTGGCTTTAGCTTTGCTTTGTTTTGGTGGTACTGCAGATTTGAGATTTCCCTGAAGCACTGGGAAACCAAAAAGTGAACCTTTCCATCCAGATTTAAAACTAACAGAGCCACTGATGGACTTTTAATTTCAAAATGTGTGTACTACTGAAGAAAATAATATATTGTAAATAAATGCAATATTTATATATATTATATAAAAGGCTATTCTGTCTGTGTATTCTGTCTCCCTTTTCACTGGATAACAGGTTATGCTTTCAAAAGCAATGTAATACATATTTCCAGCTCATACACTATATATTTAAAGGTTTGTGGACATCTGACCATAATACCTAGATGAGCTTTTTAGACATCCTATTCCAAATCATGGGCATGTTTCCACTAACCCCTCCTACTTCGCTTTTTAACTATAACAGCCTCCATTCTTTTGGGAAAGCTTTCCATGAGATTATAGAGTGTTTCTGATATTGTATGACAACAACTGGTTCTCAGAAAGAAATTATCAGCAGTCACTACCGGTTTATATGTATATATTATGGGAGTGTCTGGTGCAGACGTCACATCTAGTGTGCAGTGTGGATCAGCAGGAAGGTGAGCAGGGTCTGAACCAGAGCTGAGCTGATGGCACGCATGGTGTGCAACATGGGAATGCTATAGCAGAAGGTGAGTGGGGACCGGAGAGAGAGGACTGAGCGCAGGGGATCAGCAGAGCTGGGGGGCCAAGGCAGGAGAAACTAGCACGTGCTATCACACGTGCTGCGCAGCATGGGAGCAATATAGCAGGAGTTGAGTGAAGCCAGAGAAAAAGGAGGAACAGCAAATCAGAGGAGAGCTGGGGGATACTACAGAGTGAGGGATTAGCAGATCTGGAGGTTACTACTGAGTGGAGGATCAGCATAGCTGGGAGTTACTACTGAGCAGGGGATCAGTAGAGCTAGGGGTTACTACTGAGTGGGACATCAGCAGAGCTGGGAGTACTACTGAGCAGATGATCTGCTGAACCATGGCACTAATAGGCTGGGGATATGCTGAATAAGGGTACTTATGAGCTGGGGATCTGCTGACCGGGGGTGCTACTGAGCTGGAGTTCTACTGGGCCCATTTAAAACAAATAAAAAATCAACACACACTTTTGGCTTCCATGCCTGGGCAAATGATCTCATATATCCCAGGAGTCTTTAGGATGGGTTTTCTCAGCTAAGCACACCCTCCT